TCATTGTTAAAAGGTAGAAAATGTTTCATTCAAATACTAGTTATCGCATTTGCCATGTTGAAGAATTAAGCTTGATTACAGTAAAAAATACATCAAGAGCTTACTGGTTGATGCATTAATCAAATGTTGAAAATTGGAGTGATTGATTATATAAAGGCATAATCAAGAGCTTATTAGGAACTAACTTTATAAATGTATAAGGTACTAAAAAACATATTAGATATATGCTTACCTATACTTGAACACATTCATGTGACATGTAAATCAACTGTTCCGTCATTATTGATTTTTGTTTGATTACGGCAACCATAAAAAATACAACCACAATATGAAGAAAAATTTACGCTATTTAAATCTAACAAAAGAAACATTTATATTTATGCTATTCAATGGTTTTAACATATTTTCAGGTGAAAAACTTCTATGAAATTTTGTTATTACAAATAGACTTTTATATAAACTATTTAGGTCAATCATCTCAATATATATTTGTGACAAAAGTCTATAAAATTATAATATAGAATAAAATAGGAATTAAAAATTTGTAGTAATGCATGAGATGCTTACTAGCATAAAATAAAAGCTGTCCCCAATTAAATTTGTTATGGACAACTCAACAATGTATTAAAGAAGAATTTAATGGGTAAATTTTGGGTGAAAATTATTTTTAAGTTTTGGTTTCTGTTTCTTCTCTTTTTTTTTTACTCTTTTTTGTGTTTTTCAAGTGAAAGCCCAAACTGTTTTTCTTAGTTTTTTTTTTTTTTTTTACAGTATTATTTGTTCAATTGAGTTTTTCTCTTCTTCTCATGTTTAATTTTTTTATTTTTTTTTGCTCTTTTTTATGGGTGATTTTTTTTTGTCAATGTGTGTCGTTGGTGTTTGGACATTATTGTTTTTGTGCATGCATGGTGTTCGATTAATTATTTTTGTTTCTCATGTATTATGCAGATTATTTTTTTTATACAGTTATGAGATTTTTTTAATATGAGTTTTGTGTTTGGATTACTTTTTTTTTTGTGCATGGTGTTTTTTTTTTTTGTTAAGTTGGATTTTTTTTTGTTTGGGTTAGTAACTGTTGGTTGTATATTGATAGAAGTTATTAGTTTTATATTTGATTTTTTTTCATCAATATTATTTTTTGATTTTTGAATTGATATTATTGTGGTTGTCGATGTTGTAATAGTTTATATTTGATTGTTTTTTTGTTCATGCATGTTGTTTTGTGGGTTTTGGGCTTTTGTGTGGTTTGTAAGATTTTATTGATCTTGAAGTTTGACTATAAATAGATAGGGTTGACAACCAGTATAGTGACGAAAAAAAAATAATTTGCTAGAAACTCTTGATTGCAGTCAAAGGATGATTTTGTGTATATGTTTTCTAGATTTATTTGATCTAAATTTATGGTGTCTAAGTTGTAAAAAGAGGATTTGGCTTATGCTGCAATAGTGAAAATTGTATACACTATGATGTGAGCAAAAACCTTTTAGCTAAAGAAATATTGAAGAAAATAATAGTAGTAATTTCTAAGATTAGATTCTTTAGAATCACTAAGCTCAACTTATTGAAAGTTAAAAGCTATTGTAACAATTAGTGGAAAGAAAGGGTTTCTTTAAAGAATAAATAACTTTAACATTATTAATGTGCTCATATTTTTCCAATTCTAAATATATAGAAAACAATTATTTATTCTCTGTTTTAATGTTGTTGCCATAGTTAACTTTTCCATGGGATTGTCATTTTTATTTTGTACATAAAACTTGCATCTGGATCAATATATTTATTTCATGGTGTCATAACGTATAGATCCATGGACCTATCACTAGACTTGAATGAAATGAGTCACTACCATTTTTTTTTGTCTAGATGTGATTGACCACCTAATTGAATCTGATATGTAAAATAGATGTTAGGTTCAAAGTTGGTTACGCTTGAGGAATGTTGTAGCACCTCTACAACACCCATTCAAATGATGGTACCAGTTTGATTTTGAATTATCCAAGCCTTGATCATTTTATGATTTTACCAAATACTTTAGTATTGAAAATTAACCCTAAAATTATCCCAATAGTTTGGTAGCAATTCTGGATAATTCTCTCACCTCAGGAGTATTCATGTAGATTAGTGACCCATTTTGAAAAGGCTTCGTCATCGGATTTATTAATTTATTTTATCCTGAAAAAATTAATGAAGCCTCCCAATAATTTGGTAGGGCTCACTTCAAAGCAGTCCCTAAATAGTTTAAAGAATAAAATTTGTTATTATTTGGAAATTTATTTTTTTATTTTTTTCTCTTTTTTTTCGAAAGGTTTTTTTTATCTTTTTTTTCTTTGAAAGAGTCTCCCTTTTTTTTTAGAAATACTAATGACGAAAATATTTATAACTTTTTTTGTATCTTTTTTAATTTTTAAAAGAAAAAAAAATAAACCAGAAAATATAAAACAATGAGTGAAAATAAAATAAAATAGAAATAAAAAAAATAAAAATAAAATGAAAAAAAAATCTACGATCGGGTCAAGTCGATACCAGGTTCAGCGCAGAATCCTGAGTCAGATTCACGTAAATCCTAAACAGCCAAAACGACATCGTGTAGAGTTGGTATATAATTTTTTTATGCTACTATAGTTGATTTCTTGCCCTGTCAATACTTTACTCACAAAATACATCGATCTTTACTTTTTTTCTACATCTCAGACCAAAATCGAGCTAATGGCTTAGTCTGTGGTGGCTAAGTATAAATACAAGGTTTCACTGGACCTTGACTTAGACAAAATGGGTAGAGGGGTAAGAACTCTTTGAGTTCTTCAAAAGCTTTTTAACATTAAAAAGTCCACCTAAAGTTAGAAATGTTTTTGAAAATTTTGAAGAATGGCAGACATCATTTTGTTAACCTGGATATAAATTGGCTTAGGACGACTATTCTTCTAGTTAATTTCTGCACTTCTTTTACCAAAATTGGTGCTTTCATGTTTAAGATTGCCTGGACTTATTGTGCGTTTGCCTCGATCCCTTTTTTATTAATCATATAATCAAGGAACTTACCCGACATGACCCTAAAAGTACATTTACTTAAGTTAAGCCTCATATTATACTTTTTCAAAGTATTAAAAGTATTTCAGAGATCTTTCAAGTGCTCGGTCAAGTTCTTACTTTTGACTATCATGTCGTCTATATATACTTTCATGTTGCAATCGATCTTGTTTTTAAATACCTTGGTTACTAGCTTTTGGTAGGTCATCCTTATATTTTTCAATCCGAAGAACATTACCTTACAATAGTAAAAGCCTTTTTAGTAATAAAGGCCATTTTTTTCTTATCGTCTTTTAGTATTTTGATTTAATTGTAACCAAAATAGGCATCCATAAAGTTGAAGAGGCCATGCTTAGCACTATCATCCACTAGTCGATTTATGCTAAAAGGAAGAAAGTTATCTTTTAGACATACTTTGTTCAAGTCGATAAAGTCAATACACATCCTCTATTTTTGTTTTGTGTTTTTTGACCATGATCACGTTGGCTATCTATTCAAGGTAGTATACCTCCTTGATAAATCTTACTTGCAGTAATTTATCAACCTCATCTTCAATGGCCTTTTGTTTTTTTGGGGCAAAGGCTATTTTTTTTAAGAATCGATTTTACCTCGGGATTACTAAACAGCATATAAACGATCACTTAGGTATCAATTCTAGGCAAATTGGATGGTGTCCAGGCGAACGGGTCAATATTCTCTATTCGAAACCGAATTAACTAACCCTTGTGCTAAAGTTTAGTTTCAATCTGCATATGTTTTGTAGGGATGTTATCTCATAATGGTATGGCTACTAAATCCTCAGTCGACTCAAGCCAATTTTCATTCAAGTCCGATCTTTGGTCAATTATCTCTATCATAACATATAGATCCGTAGACTTATCGCTAGAATGGATAAAAAAGGAGTCGCCACCAATCTTTTTGGTCTAGGTGTGATTGACCACCTAATTGAATGTAATATGCAAAATAGATGTTAGGTTCGAGAGTCGATTACGCATGAGAAATGTTGTAGCACTCCCACAACACCCATCCAAAAGATGGTACCAGTTGGATTTCAAATTATCCAATATTTTCAAATTATCTAATCTTTGATAATTTTTATGATTTACCAAATATTTAATATTGAAAATTAATCTTAAAATTGTCTCAATAGTTTGGTAGTAATTTAGGATAATTCTTTCACCTAATGAGTATTTATGGAGATTAGTGTCTCACTCTGAAGAGGCTCCATTGTAGGATTTATTAATTTTTATTTAAAAAAAAAAAGTAAAACCTCCCAGTAGTTTGGTAAGACTTACTTCAAAGCAATCCTTAAATAGTTTAGAGAATAAAAATTATTTTTGTTTATTTGAAAAGATTTTTTTATTATTTTGAAGACTTATTTGAAAAGATTTTTTTTTTTACTTATTTGAAAAGGTTTTTTTCTTATACGTTAATATCTCATATAACAACAAAGAACCCAGAAATCTATCAATGAAACAAATTGAAATCCGTCCTTGAAATCCAAAGTTTTTAACTTTTAACAACAACTCCAACAAAATACTCAAAACCTAAGCTTGGTAAAGAATCACCTGTTCTTTCCAGTCTTGAACGTCTTTTTAGACCTCTCCTTGGTAGCGTTACAGGCAGCCATTTTCTTGTCCTTTGTTTGAAGAGCATCAACGGTAACCATATCTTTCAAGTCCACATCGAGGAAGTAGCACGTGGGTATCAGGTGTTCGTAATTCATGAGCTTGATGAAGCACCTGACGCGTGATTTCTTGGCTATTTTCTTGGCAGAATCTTTACGGATAACCTTGCTTGCATACTTTTTTATTCCTGTAACCAAACAGTGGCCATAGGGGCGATCACGCATGCCTTCGTCGAAGGACTTCACGACCACCGTTTTTCGTCTAGCATATCAGTCTTGGAAAATGATCTTGGCCTTATTGGGTTTTAGAAACTTCACCATGGCAATGGCACCTTTGATTCCCTCCTCACAAACTATCTTGTTTATTTCTTTTCATTTCAACTTTTCCAAAGTACCCAGGGTGGTACTTGTCGAAAAGAATCCTGTAGTGGTGCATGCCTCTAGCGTTTCCTCGACCTCTCAAGTGCTTGCGATGCTTGTCGATATAGCTGTGACCAGCGCTCGCATGGTCACGCTTTTTGCCGTTCTTTTTGCCGTTCTTCTTAAAGTGGGTTGTCATTTCTGATTGGTGCAGAGCTGGGGAGGGGTTAAGGGTGGCTGAGAGACGGTAGGAGCAGAAAGATCAACAAACATGAAATCTGCAAGTACGGCCATTATCACATTATGATGGAGGATGCTTTGTGAGGGCCTTTTGCCGGCCAACCCGGGGTCTTGGCAGTGAACGGCTGTAATGCTGGATTCAGTGTAGTGTGGGAGAAAATTTTCTTTTATGCTTTTTTTTTTACTTCTTTATAGGATTCCACCCTTTTTATTTTAGCCAATAAATTACATGTGAATTAATTGCATAAATCAAGCACCGAATTTTTTTACAAAATCTTTAACGTAATTGCATGAATCAAGCACCAAAATTTACTGCAAAATCTTCAACGATTTTTTCTTTCTTTTATTTTTTTTTTTTTTCAAACAAGTAGAAATAAATAAAATAAATTAAATCAAATTAAAATTAAAATTTTTCTTATTGGGCTCAAAATTTCTCAATTGAGCTCAGTTTACAACCGAAAGCCCATTTCCAATCTTAAAAATTTTCGGACAAAATAAGGTGTCTACAATCTCTTTTTGTTCAATTAGTATGCTATTGATAACTTTCTGAATATTTATATAGTGAAATTGGTATGTATTATTCATTTCATGCTATGTTTTGGCTAATGTATTAGCTTAGTCTAAATAACAAGCAGTTGTTCATGTCAACTTAAGAACTCGATTGTCTTTAGAGTTACTTCAAAAAAATTTAAAAATAATATAAAAGATTTTTTTATTCGAACTTAACAGCTCAAAGCAGTGTAAGAGTGCATTTTTGTCAGGTCAGTCTTATGTTTTATGTTTTTACTTGTGTTCATGTTTCTTGTAGGCTTCCACTGTTTGCCCTTCTTTAGTGCTTTTGGCCTTAGCCAAACTGTCAGTCTACTTTTTAGTCCTCATTTTCATTGTTGTGACATAACACTATCGTGCCATAGACTAATCTCTCTTAACTTCTCTAACCTTATTGGGTGTTGGGAATTTCACTTTCAGATGAGGAGTTGAGCCTATGAAATTATAACAGATTGGCTAAGTCAATCTAATATCATGTTATAGTCTGATGGGACATTGATAACCATAAATTTTATGACCAAAGTGATAGTCTTCAGTTCTTTTCCTAAAGAGATCGATAGCTTGGTTGTTCCTTTTATTGGTACTTGTTCATTTCTAAATCCCACTAGTGTTGTGATGATCAGCTGTAATTGATTTTCATCAATTTTTAACTTTTTCATAGTGTCATAGTACATGATGTCGGTTGAGCTCCCATTATCAAATAAGATTTTTTTCACTACATAGTTGTATACTACAACTGTGATCACTATAATGTCATCATGTAGGTGTTGGATTTCTTTCAAGTTTTTTGAGCTGAATGAGATCGATTCACCTTTTCAATCTTTTTTTTTTACCGAAGTGCTTATGGCTATGAGCATGTTTGGATTGAACTTTTTTTTTACCTAGGTAAAGCTGCTTCTAGTGATCACATTTATCACTTTAGTGATCGATCTGTTGTAATCAATTTGGATTTTTTATTGCCTCGACTTATCTCATTGAACTTTTCTTATTACAGTTTTTAGCTTTCTCTCTATGCCTCGGGTGGGCTCTTTTTGATCTTATCTGTAGGCTATTATAGGTTGGTCCTATCGTTGCTACTCTACAAACTTTTTTAACTAACCTTTTTTTATCAGGGCTTCAATGTCATTTTTTAAGTCAACATAGTCTTTGGTGTTATGGCCTACATCCCTATGAAAGGCACATATTTTGGTTAGATCCTTTCTTGTGTTTTGTCATAGTGGCTTCGACCATATAAGGTCAAGATTTCTCTCAATTTGCATCAAAATCTTCTCTCGAGAGGTACTTAGTGCAGTATAGTTCTTTTCTCTATTAGGGCTTTTAGCCATATATCGTCTCTCTCTCGAAAAAAGATTGTAGAAATCTTTACCTTTCATATAATCGAGAAAAGGGGATGAGCCTCTTTCACCTCAATTGTTTTTCATCGTAACTTCAACATTATATATTTTATCAACTATTATTAGGATGTCTGTTAGAGTTTTAGGTGGTTCTAGTGACAAAGTTAACTTCATATGGTAATTTTTATCGTTGAGTCCATTTGTTAGGTAGCTATAGTGATCGTTCGCTTCAGGTCTTTAACCTACAATGCTTTCGCATTAAAATAAGTGACATAGCTCTTCAAAAATTCACTACGACCTTAGTGGATCAACATCAAACTTAGTGTTATCTCTTTCGCTCTTTAACTACTCATAAATCGAGATAGGAAAGAATGGCTAAGCTCTTTAAACATTGTAATTGAACTCGATTCTAGGCTACTATACCAAGATTGACCTACGCCTTTTAAAATGGTAGCAAAGCCCTTGCATATCGAGCTTTGTTTACACCTTACATCATCATTTTAGTCCTATAAAGTTTCAAATGATAGAAAGGTTAGAAATATTATCGTATGTTTCTAAGGTCGACATTTTAAACCCTTTAAGAGGCATGGCCTATCATTTTTTTCAATAAAAGGCAAAGCCTCCGAGAACTTAAGCTCATCCTTGAATGCTACTATTTTTATTTTTAGCTTTTTCTCCATAGCTTGCATCCAAGCTTCTAAGTTCTTATTTGATTGAGGTTTAAGATTTATCGATTTGAATTTTTAGGTTGTGGCATGTGTCGAGTTATGGTTAGGATAGTGGTGAATGAGTGTGTTATACTTCTTTTCTTTGAAGGCTGAGGAGGCTTCCATTTCTTTATAACTTGGCTGTCTTACCTCGACTCTTTAGTCAAGGGTAATTAGGTTAGGTACTTTCAAAACTTATGGTGGAGTTATGGTCTGTAACATCTATTTAAGGGCCTATATCTGCTTGATTAAGGATATGAATTATTCCATGGTCAGGCTTATCTACAGTGGGGTAGGTTGTTCTGAGTGTTAACTATTATGTGTTTCTATTCCAGCTAGAATGGTCGTTTCTCCTTACTCTAAGGTTTTTTTCCTTGGTGGCATTGTTTTATGCTCAATTAATGAGTGAAAAAATAGCCCTGTACATAGGGCATCAAATGTTTGTACCAAACTTCGATCTTAGGATACTTCTGCAAAGATAGAAAAGAAAGACAGTTAGAAGCAAAAGTAGAGAGTGTTCCCTATATTTGTACTCCGATGTGCAAGTCAGGATAGGTAAAGTTGAAAGGAAAGTAATAAGAAAAATTATGAGTAAAATGAACTTACCTTAATAGTGCTTGGATCTTCATATTATAAATATGCGATGAAGGTCCATTAAGGGACAATAATGACAGTGTCGAGCTGATGTTGTGTACTAAGTATGTCTGACTAACCTAACATGTCAAATCAACACAAATATCAAAATTACCCATGGTTGTCACACTAGTGGTTTTTATTGTTATTTGAAACTGATGTTGACTTTTTATAATTGTCAAATGTTTTGCCGTTCTTTAGGATGATCAATTTATTTTTTAGTTGTTTTTTTAATCTAGTTTAACTTGCTTCATCATTAATTGTAGGGAATCAATTAATTTTTTGCTTTGGATTTGATTTTGTAAAGAGTTTAAGATTATATTAGTATTCATCATATGAAAGTTTGCTAGAAAATGGTTTAGGTGGAATTAATTTTGCAAACCTAGCTTACTGATATACTTATATAATAAAGTGAGGTAACCCTTTATAAATTTTATATTATATCAACATTTTGATTTTGATTTTCACTTTCATTTTCAACTGTTATACTTATCACGATTCAATATAAACAATATGAACTTTGATAGCTCAAGGTTCCGTTTCAATCTATGTCACTATCTAACATGTGAGACATTTCATAGTAGCAGTAGGTTTGTTTCTGCAGCGCCACACTAGGATTCAGAAGCATAGACCATGAGGGTTGAGGTTCAATGATCTCAATGTACTACCTTTCATTTTTACGCTAATCGCCAGGCTCAAAAGATTTTTCCACGACAACATATTATGAGTGAGGATCTCAATGGTTGAGAAATATGTTTGCTTGACACATATTTATCTGTTGTGAAATAGTGATGCTAACTTAATTCCATGCTAAACATGATGCTTAAGCATATGATGTAAACATTGCTTTGCTTTTTCCATTGTTTTTTCTTTTTGTTTAGTGGAGTTATAAATTACTATTTGCCTGGATTGAGCTTTTGAAGAATCTGAGACCATATGATAAACAATGTGAAACAATAATTCATGTGGTTTTCTTTCATGCTTGCTTAGACTATGGTTTGAATTTATGTGTTTTTTGAACAATTTATTCCAGTGACTAATCAGTTTGATATGCTTCATGGAGGAGCTGAATTATGAAACTGATTTATGTTTGTTTTATGAACTATTTAAGCATTATGACTCGATATGGATTGGCATCTTTTCAAAACAAAATGATTCGCCTAGGAAGCGCAATTACCAGTGTGTTCAGAGCTAATTCCATCATCAAATCAAGGGATATCCCATACCTTGATCTGAAAAAACACAAAGTTAAGCATCAGGTCATTCTAGATAAGTTACAAATTCTATCCCCTAATTTAGGGATGTACAGTATGTTGTTCTTTTTATCTTCTCCTACCAAGCTGGACATCAAGTTCTGCTTTTTAATGAATTTTTACTTGATTTGAAACACAAAGAGTTACTTAATTTATTTTGCTATTTGTCAAATCTAATAAATATTTGCTTGAAATATGTCACTACAATTTTACATGTACCATTCTATTTGTCACTTTTAGAATTAATAGATTATCTGTTGCTATATAGGCCTTGGTGTGGGTGGGGATTATAGTTCTTATCGACAACTCGAAAGAAACTCTATGTACAAGCAATATACTGAGAAGCTCTCAGAATCTGGTCATGTTTATCATTGTTTTTGTTCCAATGAAGTAATAGATTTCAACTAAACTTTATGAATGGGAAGAGAATTTAAATTGAATTATTTTTTGATTTCAGCTGATTGCTTTTTAAATTTGAATTGGAAACTATTTTTACACAACTCTTTTTCTCTTATACATTGTTCAACGTTTAAATTATTAATATATAATTTTATTTTACTTATACAACTAAATCACAAGTGTATAACTTTATTTTACTCCTGTCGTGAAGCGCAAGTTTGAAACCTAGTGGATAAATTAAAAGGACACAGAACTTGGTGAGACTAAGAGTGACCAAATATCTTTCTAATGTAAGGATGCTTGGTCACCCCTCTTGTAACATGCAATCATTATTGGTTTCTAGTTAGCACTAGAATTTGGCCAAGGCAAATTCTTCTCTTTCATAGATTTTTTCATTCATTATTCGTATGAACTATTATTGGTAGTTTAGAGTGCGGTGCATCCTACATTAGATAAAAATATTTAATTATTGATGAATAAAATTATTTTTTATATTAATTTTATTCATATTTTAAATAATTATATTTGAATAGAAATAATTATTATATGACAAATGATCATAACTATTTGAATCAAAATAGATCATTATTCATAAAGGTCATGATTATACAAAAAGTCATAACAATTTAAATAGAAATTTATGTCTATTTATTCATTATAAATAGATCTTTCAGTATAATCATTTTTGCTACTTTTGCTTGGAGAGTTTTAAGGTTTTATTATATCCTAGAGGTATAATTGATTTTAAGAGAGTGTTTTTCATGCCTCAAAGCCAAAAAAATTTTCTATTATTTCTATTTTCTTATTTATAGTTTTCTAATAATTTAAAGGCAATTATGAAATTTATTTTTTGCATGAGGAATATACAAGGAAAAGAAATTGGCAAAGTTGGAAAAATCGACTTTTGAAACAAATATGGAAAGTTTCAACTATTCAAATAGTTTTTTGGTGAAATAAATACTAAATACAATGTAAGTTTATTGTTAGTATCTTTCTAGTTTTAATATTCTACTAAAAGAATTGATGATTAATAATTCATAAGAAACCCTGAGTCTTATTGACTTATGCTTTCTTTATTTACTATTCTTTTAATCTTTGATTATAAATTAAATTATTTAATTTATGATTCATGATTTTATGAAACGTTATAAATGGATTTTTTCAATCATGATATTGAATGGTCATGAGCATAAAATGGATATGGAATACTTGTTAGCTTTGGTTATGAATTTTTTATAGCCTTATTATATTTTGGTAAGACTATGATTATTAAATCAAAATGATAAAATTTTTTAGAATTATTTTAAGTTATAAAAGAAATTGTGAATTTATAAATCTTTTCAACAAAGAAGTAAGTATATATGTTCTTATCATAAAATCATAATTTATGGTCCATATTCCATGATTGCATTTTATTGACAAGAGAATAATGCACAATTCATATTATTTGATTTATACAATATTATTTCGATAAAAAAAAAACATATTATCTAAGATAACTTCAATTCAATTAGAGAAGTTATATAATTCTTTATAACTAGTTAAAATGCTTTCTATTTGTTAGTTGAAAACTTTTCATTTATTTTATAATTTGGACACAAAATTTATAGTATTGTGTAATTATACATGAAATTTTGTCTGTTTTTAATGACATGAACCGTGGTGGATATGGTTTTAGTGTCCAAGATCAAATAATTTTTAAGTATTCAAGAATTGGAATGAAAGTCTCAAAAAGAGACTGTAGAACACTGAGTTTACTAGTTTTGAGGGTGATTATATTTAGTATCATACTTATTAATGCATACTCTCATATTGAGTTGAAATAAAAATTTTTGAACTTTTATGAAAAGAAAATATTAAGATATAGAATATTTACTAGTTATCTTTCACTAAGGATAGATTTAGAGACCTTCAACTTAAACAAAAACAACCACCAAATGGTAAAAAGATAAATAAAATGGTAATTTGATTAAGTATATATGATATCTTGATAATTAAATTGGACATTCTTTAATAAAAAAAATACAAATTTGCATATAATGGGGGTGATAAGAATCAAAAGAAATAAAAATTTTCACTATAGTATAGTAAGATTTTAGTATAATTTTATTAGCAAATTATATAAGCTAATAAGTTTAGTACAACCTATTAAAGTAAAATCATAAAAAGTACTTAAATTTCTTAAAAAGACTAAAATAGCTTGATTTATTCATTGAGTTTATCCAATTGTAGTAGAAGAATAATTGTATCAAAATAGATAAAAGTGTAGAAATAGAATAGTTGAAATTTTATATTAATGAGTATAAAGTTGTAGCCACAATTAATATCATTTATTTCTTAAAATGACAAGAGCAAGGTAATAATATCTAAAACATATAAATGATATGTAAAATAAAAAGTTTGGACATATTAGCCTGAGGTGATTATATTAAAAATTCAATCTTAAGTGAAGGTAATTACTATAAAAGAAAATTGAATCTTAAGATATTTTATTAGTAGTACTGCAAGTATAATGAATTTAAACTCTTATTATTAGACATCAATAACAGAAACCTAACTTTTAATTAGTAACCTCTAATTACAAAGTTTAATGGGTAAAAACAAGATATTGTTACTTGTCTAATAAGCACTAGTAAAATTCATTTAAATTTTAAAAACTAGTGTGATCTATTACATAAGGATGATAGGTTTTTATACTATTAATAGAGTTTATTGTTTAAATGTTTAAAATAATAGAGACATAATGGAAACTTTAATTATATAAACATAAAATTGGTGTCGCTTCAACAAGAAAAATTATGGTATATCTTGTAAATGTTTATGAATAAAATAAGCACATAGTCATAATAGTGCTAAAACGGTTATAAATTTTTAATAGAATAATAAATAAGTAGTAGGTATGTTATATCTTCAATTCTAATACTAGAAGTTGAGATTTAATCTGCGTACATCATTAACTTCGTTAGAATTCTAAGATATATACCTTAATTAAAGGTTTAAATTAAGATATACTTTTTTGTATTTATAATATTTATTTGTATGAAATGTTAAAAATTAAGTGCCAACATTTCAAATTAGTGGTAGATTATTGGTAGTTTAGAATGTGATGTATCTCGTATTAAATAGAAATATTTAATTATTGATGAATAAAATTAATTTTTGTATAATTTTATTCATATTTTAAATAATTATATTTGAATAAAAATAATTATTATATAACAAATGGTCATAACTAATTGAATATAAATAAATTATTGTTCATAAATGTTATAATTATACAAAAAGTTATAATCATTTAAACAAAAATTTATATCTATTCATTTATTACAAATTGATATTTCAGTACAATTATTTTCACTATTTTTATTTGGAGAGTTTTAAGATTTTATTATATTCTAAATACATAATTACATTTAAAAAAATCTTTTCATGCTTCAAATCCAAAATTTTTTTCTATTAATTTTATTCTCTTATTTATATTTTTCTAACAACTATCATTGCAGATTAAAAGTCTATATGCTTATGACATCCTAACTTAAAGTTTCATTGATTCTTTGATTTACCAGTTTACAAGGTTTTTAAGCAAAGTTTATTTCACCTTTTAATTAGTGCTAGAGTTATGCAAAATCCTTCGTTTTGAAAATAAAAATTTTAAATTTTTATTAAATTTACAAATTACTTGTCTAATTAATTTCTAACGATAAATACATTTATCAACTTTTTTAAAATATGGATTCAAATTTTCGAAATTGAAGAAAGATAAAACTAACCAAAAAATAGGAGTGAAAAAAAATTGAAAAAAATTAAAAATCAATTGAAAATTGTAATATTCAATTTGATTTAGATCGATTTTTTTATTCAATTCGAATTAAGTTCGAATATTAAATTTATATATTAAGTTTATATCCAATTTTAAATCAAAAAGTAAAAAACAAAAAAAAAAACAAATCGAATTATATATTTTTATTAATTTTTATGTATATTTTAAATTTTTATAAAATAAAAATAATTATTTTATAACTAAATCTATGAAAATATATTAAATATCATGTTAAAATAATATAAAAAAAATTTAAATTTAAAAATCAATGTACTGAATTGAACCAATAAAATTCAATTCAAATTAGATAATATGAAAGTTTGATTCACATTGGAATTGCATTTTAAAAATTTATAATTTTATGTATTATTTTAAAAAATTGAATCAAATTCGATTCAAACCATTACTATCATTACCGATGAAACTACAAATTATCCTTGAACCATTTCTTGTTTCTTGTTCCTCGATTTTCCTAAATCTTAAGATTTTTAAGTTTTTCCCTTGTCTTCATGACATTTTGTCATCAACAACCTACTATAATGGAAAATCCCCATTACTATGCTTTGCATTATCTGCAACCGCAACTCTATATCCTTTGTACATTTTCTCAGCTTTACCGTAAGCAATCTAGGATAAACAAAGAAGCAGCAATGAACTAGAACAGAAAAGTTATAAAACAATGTCTAACAGTCCACCAATATATCCATTAAATCTAAAGAAAATCGTTGTAAAATGTTTGTGTTACGTTCCAGTATCCATCGTACTAATGTTTGTGAAAGCTAAATAATACTAGAAACTACTGCTTCTGTCCAACCAGAAATGCCCTTATGATAGTTTCACTCATCCCATCAGCATATGGAAACAAATGGCCTGCACCTGCTAACTCATGGTACTCAATCCATGGAAGTCTTTCGGCAATGTAACGTTGAAGGATAACCGGCACAAAGCGATCTTCATCTCCCATCCAAAGGTGAACACTGCCTTCATTGTTTGGAAAAGGAGTCTGGAGCTCAAGGGGATTGAATTCCCACTTCCCAAAACCAATCCTCATGTCCCGATGTAAGGACTCAAATACTCCTTGCTGAGTTACCAGTCCCTGCATAGAACAAGATCAATAGGTAAATTCTGAATTTGTCATTAGATATCATAATAGCATTAATGAGATCAATTTGCCATTGTTTACCAAAACTTTAGACGAAGTAAACATTTTCTGGACTAGTTAATTTTGTTAAGAACTCTTACTGTGATCCTATCTGAGAATATTTATGAAGAACAAAACATACTCCTAGAGTTTGATAACACAACATCTGAGGCCTATATTGTCAGCATATTGGTTTTCATATTCAAGTTTCTCTTAATCACCAGACTTGCATTTTACCCTCATTAATGAACACTCTCTGTAGTATCTTCCTCCTCATCGTAATAGAAAGAAAGTTACCTACCTTGTGATTTTGTCTCTTGGCAATTTTAGGTAGAATTTGGACATCTTGATGGGAGAAAATTTCAGGTCTACGGGATACTACACCAGATGCAGGAAAAAGCTTTTGAGTGTTCCACCAATAGACCAGAAATGGAAAATAGTGAGCAACACGCAGGGCCCATTGATCTTGAGGTAGCTGCTGGTGGTATGCTTCTGTAGATAAGTTGCCAGGAAAGCCAGGCCACCAGTAGTTGATAACCGGTGCCAATAGCGTTGCTCCTGCTAGCCTGAAAACATCTCAGAAATTGGAACAAATAACACCTTAAAGAAACACCAACGAGACAATGCAGAAAGGGCACCTCTCTGTATTATAACTATCAGAGAGAAACATTTATGCTGATTTTAAAATAACAAATCGCCCATTACATGTAATATTGAGATGGATTTAAACGAACAATGTTCATATCCAGCATTTCATTCTCATTGCAAACTTCTTTCTCCCGTTCAAACTTGTGCATGAAGATATCTTACCTATGAGGTATGTACTTGAGGCAGCTCCAGACAGCATGGCCTCCCATAGAATATCCAATTATATAAAATTTGGGTCCGAGTCCCAACTGATCGGCAAGTTCTTCTATATCAAGGGCCAAACTCTTCAGTGTTCGTCTTGGATCAGGATCACTTTCTCCATAGCCCGGTCTATCGAAGGACGCACTGTATATCCCTAGCTCCTCAACAACTTCCTGAAATAATGAATCCAGATTAAATTAACCAATACACCACTCACAAAATTATTGAATTCACTGATTATTAAACAAGTGAAATCAAGACAAGAAAGAAGCACCGGGGACAGGCGTGTGACAATGACTTCATCATGTCTACAACTAGAAAAGCCATGAACAAAGATGATCTTGTGTTTGGCCATTTCTTTTGGTATACCATGTTCCTTGTAGGCCAGATGTCTTCCATCCCTCAGTGTTATTCTAGTTGCTGTAACAGGAGGGCCATCTGGAGATCCACATATCTTGGGAGCTGGAGGCTGGATGGCCTGATAAGTCCATGCCAGCGAACCAATTAAAAACACCAGTATAATTCCCTTGTGCATCCCTGAAAAGGTTTTTAAATTGGAATTTTTTTTAATGGTGGTATGCAGATATGGAGAAAAGTAGAGCCTATAACTTGAGAGAAACTCGATGTGGTTGCCCCCCACCCAATATCTTTTCTGTGGAAGTGGGAATGTTGAAACCAGTACTAGTAGCTAAAATTTTGGGTATTAGCTAAAATATTGGTTGGACCAGATTTTGAGATGCATCTCCATTTGGATTGAATCAACAAGCTTATCAAAATTAGCATTAATTACTCTGACAATCACAGAATACTCAAATTACCAAAACGCAGGTCCATACACCAATGTATTTAAAATATACATATATATAATTGGTAATTAATTTTTGAAATGTGAAAAAATTTTGTACAAAGTAAAACAAACTGCAACAGGTTGCATTCTAACAAAAAGGAGAAATCATACAAATTAAATGTGATTAAAGGTTAAGATACAATAAAAATGTCGGAACCATCTATCCCTTAAGAAACTTGTCTGAAATGAACCCATTTGACGTTAAGCAAAAAGGGGAAAAAGAAAAAGGAAGAAAGAAGAAAGGAAAGAAACCTTTGGTACATTTAAAAGCTACTTTCATTCTCAATCTCTACATAGAATATCTTGTTCAACTTTCGCAGGGTAACAAGTAAGAAGTACAAATTATTGGCAACCCAATAAGCATTAGAAGGAGAGAAAGAACCTGAAGAAAATAGAATGAAGCTGAAGCAGCCTGATATTTCCCTTGGATTTTTTTTTTCAAGTTAATTTTCAGTTCTTACAACATTTATAAGATTATCAACAGTTGAACAAAGAATTAGGAGTTGAAAAAACTGCCAACTGCCATGAGTGATGAGTGGTAGGAGTTGAATCGGATCATAGACCAATAAAAAGTGCTGCAACAAGAAACCCACCTGTTTTGTTTGTTGCCTAATTAAAAGTTATTTGAACATCCGCGAGTTGCGGTCAATAAAAGTTTTTTGTTTTGTTATTTTTATTTATATTTTTTTATAAAATTTATTTAATTAAAAAAATAAATGATAAAAAATACAAACAGAAGTGGTATCTGAATACTTAAATTAACTATTTATTTTCACAAAATATATTTAATAAAAATTCTAAAACAAAAAATTATAAATAGTAAAAAGAACAAAAATTTAAAAAAAAAACTCATAGGAGGTGTCACATGGACACCTTCATCTAGTTTAAAATATTAATTTTTTATATTAAAGTATCAAATAATAGTTTTCTTAATATAATGTATAATTAATTTAATAAAAAAAAAATATATTTATATATATCTTAAAATGAATTAGGACAAAACAACTTAAACATATTTTGTTTCAATCTCGATCTTATAAAAAATTCGATCTATTTAAACTCGATCTCAATTTAAAAAAAATTTTTTTATCAGATTAAGATGAATCAAAACCCATAAAATACAGATTATTTTAACATTTTTATTAATTTACAACTTTTATTAGAAAATTTATCTAATAAAAAATACAAAAAAGGTGAAAAAAAAGTTAAAAGAGAGTATCATATGGATATCTCCATTGGCTCATTTTTTTAACAAAACTAATTTAATAAAAAAAGTTTTTAAAATATTAAAAAAAAAAAAAGGAATTCATTAAGGTACTATGTAAACATTCCAATTGAGCTTAAAATATAATTTTTAAAATTAATATATTAAATAATAATTTTATTAACTAAAAAAATTTTAAAATAATAATAATAAAGAAAAAAAAATAATTAAGGTACCATGTAGATATTTAAATTAAATTTAAAATGTTAATATTTTAAATTAGGATATAAAATCATAACTTTATTAATATAATATATAAATTTAAAATTAAATAAATAATAAAATATATACTTTTATATATACTATAGAGTGACTTGGGACAGAGCATTTTAAATTTTTTTTATTCTATCATTGCTTTTCTATAAAAAATCAATCCAACTTAACTTAATATTAAATTTTTACAAAAACATTTATCTTAAATTAAGATGAATAGAAATCTGTCGGATACTAATTATTTTATTATATTTATCAATCAGTTCATTGTGTTATAAAATTAATCTAACTATAAAATACAAAAAAAAAAAAACACAAAAGGAAATAAACAAATGAAGTGTCAACATACTTCCACGAACATTATTTTCTTAATAATTTATCTAATAAAAAATTAAACAAAAAAAAGTAAAAACAAAAAAAAACAAGAGAAAAAAATCACCTCAGGTTAGATGGAAAGCTATTGGACATTAAATGTTTTGCCATATCTACTCATCGACTCTTTTTATTGCAAATTTTATGTAATTAAAAAAATAAAAAAAAAAAGAAAAAAATCAAATTGTGATGTCATGTGACATCTCTAATGGGTTTTTTAACAAAATTATCTAAATTAAAAAAAAATAAAAAATAGAAAGAATTATAAAAGGTCACATCATACTTTAAATCAATGTCAAATAAAAATCAAAATAAGTAAAATTTTTATAATAAATGAATTAAATTTTAATTATGTATCAATATAATGTTTTTATTAAATTAAGATATTAAATAATAACTTTATTAATGCAATAATATATATAAATGATAAATAATAAAAATAAAAATAAAATTTTATATATACTCAAAATAAAACAAAAAATCTTAAATCATCTTTTGACTCGATCTTGATATGATTTTGAATTTTTTTTTTAAAAAGCTCGCACATATTGGATTGGACTGAATAGAAACTCATGTGACATAAATTATTTTGTCATCTTTATATTTGTGTTGAAAATTTTATATTATAGATTTTAAAAAATAAAAAAATAAGTTTAAAAAAATATAAATATGGATATGACACTACACTTTCACTAATAATTTTTAAAAATAATTATCAAATTAAAAATAGAAAAAAATAAAAATATATTTTCAATAATAATATCAAATGAACCATTTAAAAAATTAAAAAATAAAATTTTTCATTACATTTAAGAAAATAATAAAAAAGGTAAATTAAAAAATTAAAAAAATAAAAAAAATCAAATGACTTAACATACGTAATACTCTTGATATCAAGTGCATCTAACAAAAAACTAAAATAAAAAAAAAAAAAAAAACAAGTGGTATACCTTTGATAGCAAATGAATCCAAAAAATTTTTAAATCTAAATAAATTTATTAAATTTAAAAAAAAAAAAGAGAAAAAGGATGAAAAAAGAAAAGTAAAAAAAAAAATTGTATAAATGAATCTCACACAAAAAAATGAAAATTTTAAAATATTTTTTTATAGTTTAAAAACATATTTATTAAATGTAATAAAAAATAAAACAAAGTTAAAAAAAAAAAAGACAAAGCAGCGACGACACGTGTACAAACCTGTATGCAAGATTTATATAACTGACGGTGGCTATGATTTGCCTCTTTGTGATCATTCGTCTCTAGAAAAATCTAATTCTCACGTCCACAAAAAGTGATACTTGTCTTAATTCCTATTCAAAATGTAAACATGACAAGATTTATATAACTGACGGTGGCTATGATTTGCCTCTTTGTGATCATTCGTCTCTAGAAAAATCTAATTCTCACGTCCACAAAAAGTGATACTTGTCTTAATTCCTATTCAAAATGTAAACATGACAATGACGCATCCTTATCAAATAAAAAGCGTCAAAGAAATAATCATGTATTAATTCCTCTTGAAGAAGTAATCATGCACCGACATTCTTTGTTTTAGTGGCACTCTTTGATTTTTTATTTACCAGTGCTGATTTTTCTTTGCATGGGTTAATTAAATTAGTTTTATTATTTTATTTAATAAAAAATTCTATCATATGAATCACATTTAAAAAAAATTTTCACTTAAAAATTTTTTAGAAATTAATCATTTGTTATCAAAATTTTAATTCTAAATTTTAAATTTTAATTTTAAATTTTTATAAATTTCTTGTTTTTATTATATTTTTTATTGCTTGAAAATAAATGTCAATTATCATTATTAAAATTTTATCTATAATTTTTCATCATTTTGGATCAAATTTAGAAAAAAATTTCATATAAAATTTTTTTCAAAAGTCAATTATTAATGATTTCTATGAATTTTATTTTTGAAATAATTTTTATTTATTTTCAAAATTTTAATATATTCTATTTTTGGCTTGAAAATTAATATCAATTATCATTATTGAAATTTTTCTAAAAATTTTCCCTAATTTTTGGTAAAATTTAAAAAAACTATCTTATTTTTTTTAGAAAATCAACCATTCGTAACTATTAAAAATTTTATCGTCAGATTTTTATTTATTTTCAAATTTTTATTATATTTTTTCAAATTTAAAAATTTATTATTTTTTGACTAATCATATCTATCCCAATTTAAAATTTAAATAAATAACAAATAAAAATAATTAAATAAAATTAAATAAAAATAAAATAAATAAAACAAACTAATAAAGTAAAATAATTAAAAACAAAAATTATGTCTATGGGTAC